TGCATCTTGTACAGCAATTAACCACTAAGAAGAATATATGCAGTGTATTATTTGTTGAAACTGTACTTTCGATTTGATTTGAAACTGTCTCATTTTTATATGTTTATCAATAAAACTTTGAAAAGAAAAAAAAAGCAAACTGCAGGCCAACCTCTCTAAGGAACATAGATTCAAAAATCAACAATAAAATACTAGAAAACAATTAAGAAAGTGATCAAAAAGTTTATACGTAACAACCAAGTGAGATTGATTACAGAAATTCAGGGATGGTTCAACATATGCAAATCCATATATGTAATACACCGCATCAACAGAACCAAGAACAAAAACCACATGATCATTTCATTTTTTTATTATTTTTTTGACAACTCATACAGAATTTTACTTAACAAAGTAATATGAATTTCACAGTGTTTGTTGTAATACATGGTATTGTCTTACAACCAGCTATACATATTACCAGATATTGGAAGAAGAAAAAACTGGAGCAATGTGTAAGAAATTAAGAAAAGAAAAAGTACAAACAATTGAAAAAGGAGACGAAGCTAACTAGAGCATTGACTGCTTCTTTCTATTTCCATTTTTTTTTCTTTTTTAAAAATTATTTATTTATTTATTTGTCCTTTCAGAGGTGAATATTCTATTGGCATCTAAATACTATGTGTTCGAATTCAACTAAACATCTAATACTGTCTAGCAGTCTATAATATTAGTGAGTTATCCTCAGAAGTTATTGACTTGAGCCTTTTACAGCTCATCGTATTAATATGGATTTACTTTATATACCTCATTTTTATACTTTTCTACTGGATGGTTAAGATCAAGATATAGAAAGATCTAGATAACAGGAAATGTAACTTTTGTGTCTGATAAAGTCAGCCAAGTACTCTCAGGATCACATGATCATTTCAATAGATGCATAAAAAGCTTTTGACAAATTTCAACACTCATTCATGATAAAAACAATACAGGGAATTGATGCATATGATTTATATCTCTACCTGATAAAAGCCATCTGTGAGAAATGAATGGCCAATATCATACTAAATGGGCAAATACTGAATGCCTTTACTTTAAAATGAGGAACAAGACAAGGATGTCCACTGTCTCCACTCTTATTTATTGCATTTCTCAAAAGGTTAGCCAGACCAATTAGAAAAAAGAGAGAAATAAAAGAAATATGGATTGGAGAAGAAGAAATGAAATTATCATTATTTGCAGATGACATGATACCATACATAAAGGACCCAAAAAACTCCACCAAGAGTCTTGTAAATTTAATCACCAAATTCAGCAATGTAGGAGGATACAAAGTCAGTGCACAAAAATCAGTAGCATTTCATACACAAGCAATGAATACACTGAGAGAAAAGTTATGGAAACCACACCTTTCACAATAAATCCAAAAAATTGAAATACTTAGGAATCAATCTCACAAAGGACATATAAGATTCACACAGTTAAATATTATGGTACTCTGAGAAAAGTGTTTGAAAAGGATTTGAGAACATGGAAAAATTAGCTATGCTCCTGGAAGAACTGACATTGTGAGAATGGCCATTCTCTTCTTTCTGATTTTAAAGTGAAAGCTTTCAAGTTTTGCCTATTTAGGATCATGTTTGCTATTGGTTTTCTCATAGATGGCTTTTATAAGGTGGAGATATAAACCACCTATTTCAATTCTCTGTAGGGTTTTTAATCATGAATGAGTGTCGGACTTTGACAAATGCTTTATCTGTATCTACTGAGATGATGATATGGTTTTTGTTCTTGTTTTTATTGATGTGCGGTATTAAATTTATGGATTTGTGTATGTTGAATGTTCCCTGCATTCCTGGAATGAATCCCCGTTGGTCACGATGTATGATCTTCTTGATGATTTCCTGCACTCTGTTTGCTAGTATTTTATTGATGATTTTTACATCTATATTCATTAGAGAAGTTGATCTGTAGTTCTCTTTTTTAGTTGGATCTTTCTCAGGTTTTCGAATCAGAGTAATCTTGCCTCCAGGAATGAATTTGGTAGAATTGCTTTCCTTTCAATTTCATTGCAGAGTTTGATAAAATTTGGCATTAAATCATCTCCGAATTTCTTGTAGAAATGTGCTGTGAATTGATTAGGACCTGGGCTGTGTTCTGTTGGTAATTTTTTTAAAGTTACATTTTCAATTTCATTTCTGATTATTAGGTTATTCATAATTTACATATCTTCTTATGTAACCTAGTTTTGGTATTTCATATGTATCTAGGAAACTGTCAATTTCCTCTGCTTTAAAAATAAAAAAAAATTAAGAAAAGATTTTCAACAAGAAAAGAAATCATCGACAAGTGGAAAAGACAACCCATAGTTTGGAAAAAAATTGCCATTTGTCCTTCAAACCAAGCACTTACAATAAAAGCATAAATAATTGAAAGGAAATTAGACCTCCAAATTCAATGACCCAATGTCAAAATGAATATCTAAATGGACACTTTTCAGATGAAAAGAATACAAACAGAAAGTAAATATATGAAAAACTGTTCTACATCATTTGTCATTCAAGAGATGCAAATTAAACAACAATGAGATTCTTTCTCACTTGAGAAATAAGTGCCGCCATCAAGGAATCTACCAATAACAAATGTTGGGTAGGCTTTTTGGATAAAGGAACCCTTCTGTAGTGTTGAGGGGAATTTAGACTCGTGTGCTTACTGTGGAAATCAGTGTGAGGATCCCTTTGTAAAGTAGGATTTGAGGTCCCACATGATTCAGCTTTTCCCCTTCTTGGAATCCTTCTAGAAGCAAATCATCATACCAAAGAGATATATGTGCACTCATGTTTAGAGGAGCACAATTTGAAATGTGCTTGTTAAATCATGGAAACAATCCAAATGCCTACCACATAAGGAATGGATACAAAATAGATTCTCCTTGTAGTATTATATAAATACTTGGATTTAACATAAAAGAATAAATGACAAATAAAAATAAGTTTTAAAGGGCAGTAATAAAAGAATATTAAAAGAGTTATATCTTACTTAAATATTATATACATATATATGTATTTTTTTCACTGACAAAAGAAAATTAAAATTTATAATTACCTGAGACAGGTAAAGAAAAGTAATCCACATGGAAACAAAGCATCAACAAAGAATAAAGAAGAACACAGACAGAAAGGTAGGAAGGAAGGCACTTATTAAAGAAGTAAAAAACTTTCAAGTATAAAATAAATTATATTAGTCATAAATATTAGATAGTTTATTTGAATCAATATAAATTGCTGCAGATTATAAGAGTACCTCTAGCAGTCTTCTTTCCACTTGCCTCTAAATTAAACCTTGCCTATAATTGTGCTTTAGGTTTTATAGTGGATGAGTGCATGCAGCATTGAATATGTGAAAAGTAGACTGATTCACATATGTGAGGGGGTGATATGCATGTTCATTTCTTCCACGAACATTGTGTGGGCCTGTAAACACAATGTTCACGGGTCATGAGAATGAAGGGACTAGCAGTAGGGAAACAGGCATTGGTTAGGGCAGAAGTTTTAACCAGCCACCAAGCAGTGTTAGTATACAGAGAAAACCAGACATATGTGATAGAAGATAGGAAGTAGAAGAATACAAAGGCACAGACCAGGATGAGGATGCTTTGAGAAGCTCTAGTCTCAGCTGGCGATCTTGATGAAATGCTGTGTCTGTGAATGTGCTGTGTTTGCTGCTTGTGCCTATACAAAATGAAAACCATGGAGGCACTACTCCCGATCATAAGCTTCAAACACAAAATATCATGTGATAATGTCAATGCCGCAAAAATGGCGTTTTGGTGTTTGTCAGAAATCATAATTGAACAGTATTGAAAATCTAAAATATTTGTGATATTTTTGTGATTCTCTTTGTCACTTACAAGCATAAGAACTCTGACATTTAGCAGCATGTGCAGGACCCAGCAAATGATGGTACAGGGCCCGATGCACTTCAGGGCTTTCACTTTCAGCTCTGCCCACCTGGGACTCCTGGCGCTGATGGTGATGGCCTGGGAGACACTCAGCAGGCAGGTGGTGCTGAAAGACACACCCTTGCCCACTGTTTGAACATAGAAAACCAGTTTGCATCCAGCATTATTAAGGAAGTCTTCCATCCCAAGTGCTGCCATGGTCTCTGGGATTCCCCTACAGAGAATGTAGAAGGAGTTGGCTACAGACAGGTGCCTGAGAATCACATCTGTGCACCTGAACCTGCACCCACTGAAGTAAAGGGAGATAGAATGACATAAAAGTGACATATTTCCCAGGCTTCCAATGACAGTTGGGAAAAGGAAGAGGATTAAAAATTGGAGTTCCACATGTGCCATTTTTCAGTTGTACTGGATTCATATCAGCACTGCAAAATGTAGGATTCTATATAGAAAAAAAATTGAGAAAATTTCATTGTACATGAACTCAAATTATGCGCATTTGTATCATTCAGCATTTTATGTAAACTATGCAATTTGGGTTTTTGAAAGTTTTTCAATTTTAAATGCTGTTATTAATTATGGAGCTTACATAATGTATATTCACTCTGATTTATTGCTTACCATTTCAAATTTACTTAGGGCTCACAACAGGGTAAATTAGGATATAATTAGGTTTACATTAAAATATGTTTAGTAAAGAGAAAGTATGTGGTTCATTTAAATATTGAAGACACATTGATCTGTCACGCAGGCTTTGGTGCCACTGTGTTCATTTCTGTGCTACATTTTCACAGATTCAGAGTGGTAGTGACTTTAGAATCCATAGAAAGGACTTCTCACATTTGAGATATGCTTATAGAAATGTTGGACTATGTGCATCACCATTTAGTGAATGTTTTATCTCTGTCACAGAATCGTTCCTAAGGGAATGCTCGAAAGCACTCTGAACAGCAGACTTATTTCCTGATTGGAATCCTTCATGCTGGTTCTTTGAAAGCACTTTGGGAACAGTCAGTGGCAGGAGAGGATCTCAAACCTCCGTCTTGGTCCACAGACCATTCTGGCCCTCAGGAATCACGCCTACTTCCTGTTTGTCTTTGTCACCCTAAATGAAGCACTTTTCCAGTCATTATAATTCACCCAAACATAGACTCTGAATCAGCTCATTCTCTCAAAACCTCCATTTCTCATCCTAGAAGGGAAAATAAAGAAAATACTGACCCAACACCTTCCTGCTTCTCCAGCAGCAGACTGAGATGATGCTAAGAAAATTCCTTCTTCTGTGGGAGGGAGGTGGCTAGACTGCAAGATATGGGGCATGATGCAGTGATCTCAACTCCCTCTGCAATGCAATTACTGCTTCATTTGTAATTTTCATGACAGTGCATGTTCAGACAATCGAGATGACTGTAAGAAACAACTGAAAAACAAGTAAGTTCTTTTTGGATCCCAATTCCCAGAATCCATTAGAAGTTTCTGTGGGTGTCTCCACACAGAGAGACTTTGAGTGCTTTGGAGAATCCTTCCCCAACAACTACAGGAGCACAGTCCTATAGGGTGAGGAGAAAACGTTGGCCAATATAGATGAAGAAAACTCAGTGAAGTCTGTGTATTCTTTCCAATTGTAATTGATACACAAATATACATACATGTGTGAATACTTTCACAAGCAAATTGGTCTAAAATACATATACATAGAAATTATATATAACTACATATATAGAATTATACATGTATTTATTACCTTACACATTTTTTCATATTTGTGAACATTAGTCTTTTAATTACATGTGTTATAAATATTTATCAAGCTGTGGTTGGTGTTTCACTCTTTTTTTTGCTACTCATTTTTTAAATTGTTTATTTATTTTATTTACTTTATTTTTTATTTTTATTTTAAATACTACATAAGATTACTTCTTTTTTTTTTTGGAACCAGGGATTGAATTCAGGCCCTTGCACTTGCCAGGGAAGTGCTTAATCCACTGAGACATCTCCCCGGCCCCATTGCTACTCATTTTTGCAATGGTCAATAGTGTACATTTTTTTTTTTTGCAATAAGACAATTCCAAATCAAATTGGTAGGACAGTTTCAATAATTAACACATTGCATACTCTCTTCCTAGTGGTTAATTGCTGTACAAGATGCAGACATGATATCCTATTTGCAAACACTGTTAGAACAAATTCCTCTATTCATTAAGATAATGTAACTATATATCTATCCTAACCACTTTGAATACACAGATACAAAATGGACATTCATCTGTATACCTTTTTTTTGTTAAGTTCCGTTATTTGAATATTATAGGTGTGTAAACTCAGCAAAATATTCTAAAAGAGTCCAGTAGCCCATAATAATATTGGGTCTTCCTCTTGACTGGCAGTGTCGGAAATTGTTTACCTGAGTCCCCTATAGCTCAATATAACAGCATGGCTTTACTTCTTGTACTTCGTTTTTATACTTTTCTGCTGGATGGTTAAGACCAGGATAAAGCAAACCTATACAACAAGAGTTGTAGCTTTTGAATCTGATAAGGTCAGTCAAATTCCCTCAGGATTTATCCTGAGATCCTGTACCTCAGATTGTATATCGTTTGTCAGTGTCAGCCATGTGGATGAGTCATGGCCATTGCTTGGCCAATGTGGGTGTTTCACTCTTTATAACTACTATAAAAATCAGTGTGGAGACTCCTTAAAAAACTAGGAATGGAAATCCTATTCAATCTCACTATCCCCCCACTGGGAATTTTTCTAAAAGAACTAAAACATCATATTATAGTGATATATGTGCACCTAGGTTTATAGCAGCACAATTTGTGATAGCCAAACTTGGAAGCAACCAAAATGCTTTTCATCTGAAAAATAGATGAAAAAGATGTGGTGCTCTTATACAATGAAGTATTACTCAGCCATAAAGAATGATAATCTCAAAGCCTTCATATATAAGTGGATGCAACTTGAAGATATATTCATAAGTGAAATAAACCAGACCTATATGTGTAAATATCATATAGCCTCCCTAGTGTAAGAACTCAAAAGAAGAAATAAAAATTGAAAGGTATAACACAGTTAAATGGAAAGTGAGAACTTAAGGATTAAACAATGAAGAGAGGGCAAAGAGAAAAGCTAGGAAACATGGCAGGGGCAAAACCATACACATATACACAAGATGGTTAAGGCAATGGTCCTAAGAATTTCCATCAGGTTTTTCAGACTAGCAGTTAATTGGTAGGTTTCTCACCCTGACTAACTATATATACTGATACCTGTGCAGTGAACTAAGCAACTGCACTGAAGATAGCAGTGTGTAATACTAGGGCCATGCTTGGAATGCCTGCCATTCTGGTCTTCTAATTCCATACTGCTTCTCATGTCATATCAATTACTGATATACTGTCTCTCAAGTAAATGTTTGTTTAAAAAAAGGTGGTAAAAGTAAGCAAGAGACAAGAAAAAAGTCACAGGACTGTCCTGCTACAATGTTGTATAATGGTTAGATTTCTAAATGTCTATGTAAAAATGTATAATAGTTTATTTTTATTTTTCACGTTCTATAGGGATTAAAAGTTTAGCATATCAATGATTGCTGAAAAATAGCTGTTCTGGAGGTGGATGGCGGCTCTTCACCTTCCTAGGCTTAGGCGCTGAAGCTGAGATGCAAGTCAGACGTCTTAGGCAGAGGAAGGAGAGCGGCGGCCATTCTCAACATGCACAGCCTGGCGACGGCAGCACCTGTGCCTACTGCATTGGCTCAAGTGGATAGAGAAAAAAATCTATCAGTGGATCGATGAGCTATCCAGCCCTGAGACAAGGGAAAATGCTTTGCTGGAGCTAAGTAAGAAGCGAGAATCTGTCCCTGACCTTGCGTCCATGCTATGGCATTCCTTCAGTACTATTGCAGCACTTTTGCAGGAAATTGTAAATATTTATCCATCTGTCAACCCACCCACCTTGACAGCACACCAGTCTAACAGAGTTTGCAATGCTCTGGCATTACTGCAGTGTGTGGCATCACACCCAGAAACCAGGTCAGCTTTTCTTGCAGCACATATCCCACTTTTTATTTTTTTTTCTGGTGGAACCGGGGATTGAACTCAGATCCTTGCATTTGCCAGTCAAGTGCTTATCCTACTGAGCCATCTCCCAGGCCCCACATATCCCACTGTTTTTGTACTCCTTTCTGCACACTGTCAGCAAAACATGTCCCTTTGAGTATCTTCGACTCACCAGTCTAGGAGTTATTGAAACTGTTTCCTCCAGTCCATTGAGTGAATAAGTAGAAGATGATTTAAATCAAGATATTTTACTTATAATTCAGGTGTTGTTGTATAAGTTTGAATATAAATGATACGTAAGGAATATTAACACATTTCAGCATTTCAAAAAAAATCAGTCAGCTGGGCATGGTGGCACACACCTATAATCCCAGTTCTCTGAAGGCTGAGGCAGGAGGATAGACACAGGGCTAGCCTGAACTGCATAGTGAAACCCTGCCTCAAAACAAAAACAAAACAAAAATTAGTTGTGTGATTTCTGTAAGTGAAGTTTTGTTTTGTTTTTTTGAGGCAGTTTTACTATACAGTTCTTTTTTTTTTTTTTTTTTTGGCAGAACCAGGGATTGAACTCAGACCCTTGTGCTTGCCAGGCAAGCACTTATTCTACTGAGCCATCTACCCGGCCCCTTGTTTTGTTTTTTAATGTGTTCGGTACAGGGTCTCTGTACACAGCTCAGACTTAGAGTGAGCCTCCTGTCTCAGCCTCCCCAGTGCTGGGATAACAGGTATGTGTCACCACAACTGATCTTGTTGGCTGATTCCACTGTGCCTGGGGCAGGGCTGGCACAGCTTAGAGTACAGGGAATCAAACCTGGGTCTTTGTGCTTGCCTAGGCAGGAGCTTAGACTTTCACTATGCAGTTCAGGCTCGCCCTGAACTCGCTAGGTAGCCCAGGATGACCTTGAACTTGTGATGATCCTTCTGTCTTAGCTTCCTGAGTTTTGAGGTTATAGGCACGTGCCACCACACTGGACTGTAAATGAATTCTTAGAAATGTCTGACAAATTCAACATCCATTCATGATAGAAACTCTCAGCATATAAGCCAAACTAATCTTCTCATTTAAATAAAAATGATTGTAGCATTTATGAAACCCTGTGTTCCATCCTCTGTTCTCCAAAAATAAATTCTCACCAAACTAAAAATACAGAAGTTTTGCAAGCAGCAATCTAGTAGTTAAAATCATAATTATCAAAATTAAATACTTATGGGTCAGCCAGATAGCTCAGTGGATTAAAGTGCCTGCTTAGGCAGAGACCGGTTCTATCC